TAGGTTTGAAAAACGAGTGATGTACTGCTGTAGCCTTCTTTCCATCTTCAATGATTTTACATCAATATTATTTATTTCTCCTTAAATTCCTAAAGNGGGCTGTCCCTTTTTGAGAAAAGGGACAGCCCAAAAAGAGACAGCGTAACGAGACCTACTGCCCGTGAAATTCAAAAATCTATAGGTTTGAAAAACGAGTGATGTACTGCTGTAGCCTTCTTTCCATCTTCAATGATTTTACATCAATATTATTTATTTCTCCTTAAATTCCTAAAGCCAGCAAGCTGTCAATAGACACTGCGCCGTGTCCCCTGTGAAGGGTACATCTTACAGTACACGACACTACGGAGGGATTCTCTCCGATATTTTGTCGTTGACCCAGTAGAGAACTACAGAGGATGTATTGTAAAATGTAGATGTACCTACAGATGTTTTGTGCTTAGCACCAGCTGGCATCACTGATAAATCATCAGTGTATAGACTTATAAAGACTCGAAATAAGTCCAGTACCCAGCCGGTTTTCCTCCATTTACTGAAAAGACTCCACCACATCCCGTTCGACTGCTGTGGATATATCTCGAATGGGTAGTCTTTCTGTGCTAGTATTTATTTCTCCTTCCTGGGTTCCCACGTTGAATTGACACGAAAATTTTGGACTGAGATAGATCGACAACAAAAAAAGTGACGGTTGGCAAATTGACGCGAAAAAGGTAACGGTTGGTAAATTGACACGAAAAAATATTCCGCCGCACGTTGCCTGGCGAAGGGCGGCGCCGGCGCCCTAGGCCTGTCCTCCATCGGCCGTTTTGCTTGTATGACGGAGAATAAGAAGGTGGAATTACTTGAAATTAGTATGGAAATAAAGTTTGTGTATCTAAATCGAAAATAAAACGGCCGATGGAGGACAGGCCTGGCGGCGCAGCCTCAAGATAAAAAAAAATCAACCCCAGCTGCACCGCTGCACCGCCGGGAAACCCAACGGTCGCGCTCCCTCATCACCGCACCCGACACGGAGCGAGAGGATGGCGCGCCTTGCGCGAGGTAGAATCCGCTACGAGTGGTATGATGAGTGCATGCAGGTTCTACTGCTTGCTGTGTTGTGCGCGCTAGCTGTAGAGGAGGACATGTTCCTCGTGATGGCCATGTTTGGCGTAGCAAAGCTGGAGACATGTTTCCTCTCCACTCCCGAGAACTACACTCCGCGAACTCTCCCCAAATCCCAACCGCCGCCAGCGGCTTCCCGCCCCTAGTACGTGCGCCCAGAGCTACCGTCTCTTCCACCAACAACTGCTGTAACCTCTCCCTTCACGGGCGGGGCACCCGACTAGCTGCTGTTGTGGTCATCTCCCGTGTGCTTCGAGTGCAGAGTCCAGACAGACCAACCTCGGAGTGTTTTGTTCTCGATCCCACGATGAACGCACACGATCCTAACCGCGGCTTGACGTTCCCCTGTCGCGATGTACTCCCGGGAGCGTTGTGCTCACGTGTGTGGGTGTGCGGGAAGCTGCGTGCGAGCTTGCCGACTGAGTTGATACCTTCGTGTGTGTGCGATGGCGCTCGTGTCAATTTGTCGTTTTCTCGTGTCAAAATACCTCAGGTGAAAATATTTTGACCACGTTTTATACCTCAGGTGAAAATGTGTTGGTTTTCGAAAATTCTGACCTGTGATTCTGACATGAAAAAGTGCGGCGTAACCTCTCGTGTCAAAATTCTGACGTCTCGTTAGGCCTGACCTCCATCGGCCGTTTTTTTTTCCTTTTTCGGCCGCTTTTTTTCCTTTTTCGGCCGCCCCAATTTTTAATCGGCCACCCCAATTTTTTTTTCGGCCACCCCATTTTTTTTTTTCGGCCACCCTAGTGTGTGCCCGTACTAGCCCGTACAGGTATCCTTTTAACACCCTCTCGTGCATCCTATGTTTGTTGCGCAAGATGGATCGGGGCTCGTCCATTTGTCTGTGTTCTTCGGAAGTAAATAACTCTGTGTCCAGTCGCAGTAATGCACCGGTTTATCACTAGTCATCATTGAGAAAAAGAGTACTATTTCATACCATACGCCTCCGAAGCCTACTCTTTCGTGTTTCATCTCTCATGTCGTCTATTGCCCGTCGCTCATGTCCACGTCTACCCCCCCCGCCTCCGCGCTAGCCCCTCCACCGCCAGGCCCCTCCTCCTCCTC